TCTCTCTCTCTCTTCTCTCTCTCTCTCTCTCTCTCTATATATATATATATATATATATATATATCGATTCTATAAAAACATTCATTTTTATTTTCATATTTTTTTCTTTCACGTTTTTCATTTTATTGCAATAGTCTTCTTTGTTTGCAGAAGCATTGAAAATATACAAGTGAGTGACTTTTTTTCCATTAAAAATTTCGATAAAAAAACATTACATTCAAAACATGCAAAGTTATCTATTAACATTGTCTATTAATGTATATTAACAGTGAAAAACTTTTATCGTTGTTATTTTACATTTCATTTTATTATCTTACAATGAACGCAGAATTAATAAGAACCACTTCCATTTTACGAATGAAAGCAAAAAGAAAGGCGAAAGGGTAGTTTAACACGCATCATCGAACGTATGAATGTCTTGCTTGAATGAATATTTTACACATAATAACGCTCGTGTCAAGCGCAAATATGTGAATACCTAAGATCGAGTTTTGCATATAGAATTGTTGCATATTAAATGAGCATATTTCGAAAACGCATAGATATATATATATATATATATATATATACACGATACGTTTCTGAATCGATATTTTATTATTAACTAAATAATTGTTAATCATTGGCATCCCGTTAACCGAAAGTAAACATTTTGAACTGACATAATGTTTAATATAGTATATACTTGGCGAAATAATGGCACAATCGCGAACCGGTAAATCCGATGAAAACTATAGATATCCAAGTTGGCCAATATCGTCGAATAATTGATTCGTGAAGGAGGAAAATAACCCTATAAATCGGTCAGCGATAAATAAGGTAGGAAAGATAGAAAGAGAGCGACGTTTCACTTAAAATATGAACACTATTTGGACGTTTACTTTCTACGGACGTTCGTATTCGAACGTACAACAGTGTCGAAATCGCGAATAGATATCTATGTAATCTCCTTGCAAGACGCGCCATTGCGAGCGTCATGTATGAGCGAACCAATTCACAGTCATCTATTGCGTACATCTGCAGACACACACAAATCTACGAACACACATATAAATACACACACACACACACACACACACATACTATACATTGTTATATATACGCGTTCGATGATGCTGCTTTTATAATCGCTTTCAGATTCTATTTTAAACCCGCTCCAAGCATGAAGCATTCGTGTCGAAGGATAATTGTTTATTTCAGTGGATATTACTTTGCGTGATAGTCGGTCGGGTAACATCCGATTTGCCTGTTTAATAGTTTACCTAATACCTTCTCGACGATGTACATCACAATGACAATAATATACGAGTCGAGATTGCAAACAAATCATTTATGCCCTTACGTCTCCTATTTAGATATATCCTTATCTTGTACATATCCGTAATGAGATATGCTCCTGCACGGGCAGTGATTATCGTTTATGAGCACCAGATTATCTGACCATTATTAGGTGGCATCACATAGAGATCGCAATTAATTTTTGTCAGACAAATCACTCGAGATTCCACCGCGGTTCTATTTCAATCTCAGCAGGACCAATGCTATGGCATCATCATTTCGTAAACACGGTTCAACATTTACGTCTTATTCGTTTCGGTCGTCAGGGTTGGTTGAAAGAGTTGAAATATTAACTTCAAATACCTTGACCCGCTTTTATGTTATCGCCATGGAAAGAACACTTCCCATGGTAAAAGTGAAATGGATTATGTATATTTTGAAATATACGTATACGTGTGCTACAATCGCAAGGTCTATTAATTTGCGGCCAAGAAAAAGGAAGGAAAAAGAGACACGACGATTTAATTCTGAATACATTTTAACTTTGAATTCCTGAGAACGATACGTATACGCATAATAGACGCATGAACATTCGAGAATTTTAATTGCAGATGAAAATGGTTGTCTTTCTAGTTGCAATAGCAGCAACTAGAGCTTTGCCCCTCTCGAAAGTGCACGTGAAATTTATTTCTCCTCCTCATGTTTATGAGCACGGTATTACGACAGATGGTTAGTTTGTAAATGTAATTATGTAGCATATCATTAAAAAATCTCGCGTTAACAATATTATTTTTTATCTAACAGGAGATCGAACAATAGATCAGAGATCCTACGTTTCGATTGGAAGAAAAAGCGCAACGGGAAATGTTAAAGAATATGGTACGATATTTCTCTTTGATAGGAATGAGAATAAAATGCGCAATGCAGCAATTTAATAGAATTTATCATGCGTGTTCACAGGACAACGTTTACGCAACAAAGATATCGTTGCGCCGATTCATATTAAACCGGAAAATGCTGAATCTCTATGGCCTGTAGGCGTTTTCATTCCACCAATAGATATCAACGATCTCGGCTATAGTTCACAAGAATCAAGACATACGACACCTGATTTCTCCAATGGACTTGGTAAATCATATATTCGAAACACAAAAACTTTGCTAAAAGAATATCTAAGAGTATAATTTAATTTTTGAAAATAGAGAAAGAAAAGACATTACGATATTTCAGAATATCACGATCCGTATCTGTTGATCGGCGAGGAAGCAATGCTAGCTGTAAAATATCTTTATGATCAAGGTGAATTATTTTATGATGATATTCCTCACGAAAGAGCATTGCTAAAAAATCAAGAAGAAAGAAGACGAAACGGCCTTCACGATCACATATTAAGAAGTTTGAGGCTAACTTCTTCATTCTCTAGGAAATCATAATGTACAGGAATTTTATTATTATTTACACTAATTTTATTTATTTGCTTATTGACTATTAAATCGTAAAAAGATATATCATAAAAAGATGGAACATCTTAAGTGAAATGTATTATATTTATGCTTATTATTATCATTTGAAAAAACAAGTTTGTTTCACATTCTATAAAACTAATGAGAATAATTATATATATTTTTTTGTTTGCACAGTCCGAATTTTAATGCAGCTATAAGTGTAATAAGATGACTGTGTATTGCGTTATTAATATAATAAAACATTGTACCATTTTCTGTACAAAGTTTTACAAATGTTTATTATGTAAAATGTATATACCTCAGTTTCTTGTGATTATCATACATAAGATACGAAGTTATAAATAAAATTAGAATATATTTTTACAAATCTTTTGTTTGTTTAAATGCAATAACAAATCAATATTGACTAAACTTGAAAATTACAACTATCACGTCATATACATACAAAAATGAGGAACATTTTATACAATAATGTACATTCAATTCAGTTCAAATATTCTTATATATACCATCGAAATAAAACGCAAAGTGCTATGAAGATCAAACCATTGGAAACGCTTGTCTTCGACGTTCCATTGCATAGATCTCCGTAACAAAGACACAAAAATACTTTTTTATATTTCCACACGGTATACGCGCATCTTTCCTCTTGGTCATCGGGTCCGTTTTGAAGACAAAGTCTTTGCGTGGCAGTACCATATTCTACAAACCAAAAATATCCTTTACAATCCTGTGCAAATTTAAATATATATATCCATATCAATCGACACACTTACCATTGTCTAAACTCTTCCGTTCAATTATTTTACCGCACCATCCAGACACGCAAGGAATAGTTTCCACACCTTTTTCCATTTTAATCGCCGTTGTGTTCATAGTGAAAGGATCTTTACACGATCCTAATTCTCCTCTTGATCTACAACTCACACATCTTCGAAGAATTCCTATAATGAAAAGTAACACTTTTACTTGTACATGCAAACCATAATCATTTTTGTTTGTTTGAATTGTTTGAGGTGTGAGAATGTCGTCAGTTGTAGGAATAGTAAATACATTTGCAGCAAAGGAAAAGATTCCTATTAGTTCATAATTTACGAAAAGAATTCGTTGTTCGATATGCGGTGAAAGTATAACATTATTCATAAAATATACATGTAAATACAATCTGTGTACGAAACTCACCGATTGTGCTCTGAAGCAGAACCAAACAAAGAATCATGGATATTAAGAAAACTTGTGTTCTTAAATTCATTCTATGGTGAATATGTTTGCAATTATGTGTTTATTTTTATTATCTCACTTGTGAATTGATACTAAGGGACGATTAAACTCAGCCATTTTGAAACTAAACAGTGACTACAGAGAAATGGACACGTACTCCATGCAGTCTGTCCCTTCCACTGCCTCCTTTCACTCGACTACCTTTAAGGTCATCGTCTTTTTAAGAAGTTCTTACAGGAAAAATCGTACGAAGAATGATAGCTCAGTCGGTAAGCAATTTGCACAATTTGTTATCAGCAATTTTTTATCGATCACTTTTTAAATTACGGATTTTAACCGATAAGTGGTAATTCTTCTTCGTGTTTAAATATATCCTCTTTCGGAACAGTTTGCTCGAATTTATGTCTATTTCTATACGTATAAACTAAACCACTGCAGTAGCAAAACGAGCAAAGTAGAAATATGAATCCTAAATATCCTAAGTGACGTAAAAATTCTATGGAAAAAAAAAAAAAATATTACATAGAATAAAATTTTCAATGCGTATCGATCTATAGTTATAATTAATTACAGTTTTAATTTCACCTTGTGTTAGTAATCTAGCTTTAGAATAACGATGATTTTTACTTGCAACATATTTACGTTATTAACATAGCATGTGTAGTTTCCTTCTTCCTCGGTCGAAACATCTGTAAACAAAAAAATATGAAATACATAAAATATAACGTGTAATTTATATAACGTGTAATAAAAATACCTATCAGATAGAGCGTTCCAAAGGCATCTACTATCACCCGAGCTTCTGGATCCAATTTTCGAGAGGATCGTCGAACACCTTTTTCCAATGTAATCGCATCCTTTTTCCACGATACTTTCGTATCTAGAGTTGCCCTACGATATTTAAATTTTTTTACGAACAGTTACGTTGTCGATTCAAAATTATCAAATTACTCTGGACAAATGATTGTAAGGTAAGCTCCTTCTGCGAGTACGAATCGTCTGATATGTTTATATCTATCATCTTTTTTCTTTTTCACACGAGGGCAATTTTTGCACGATTCCTTTAAAATAAATTCTGGCAAATGGCGCACTGCGCTACTGATGCTAGGAAATTTTTCTTCGAGTAAAATTGATCTTGAAAACAAATCATGATGTTACGGATACAAATCTTTAAATATCTTTCCATTAAAATTAACTTCACTCACTTGCATGGTAATGATGATGATTTTAGGAAAAATTTAACTATAGATGAATCACTCTTGTTCGCAATAGTCTGTAAAAATGTATTTTATAGAATCAATTTTAAATCTTATATTTCATCTTACTTACCATATTTATCTTTCGTTTTAATCGACAATTTCCAAAACTTGATCTATATCCTCGATTATCTATACAATGTTCGCATGGGCCCCAAGATGCCCATTCAGAAGTGACTTGAAGTATTATTCCGACTTCTCGAATTTCTGCCAATTCGGACATTTGTGAAATCTAATAAATAAATAAATTGGGATGCATAAACATTAACATAAAGATGAACATTTTTATTTAAATATTTCTCTATATGAATCATGAATATAATAAAATTGATAACAATCTTACGGCAAATCGCATTGTAACCGATGCTAAATATATTTCACGATATTTCTCCCAATCAGTAATATTTCCTTGTTCAACGTATACAACTCCATGTTCCTTGAAAATTGCTGTAAAACGAATTTATTTAACTAGTTATATTTAAATATGTAATTTCGTCAAGTAATTGGCAAATTCGATAAAAATATTACGTTCAATTCTATAGTTAAATTTATTTTCAACTTCCTGGCCTTCTTTACCATGACACAAGTAAATTCCGGCGTCTGTACTGTTCAGATTTTTAATTACTAAAGAAAGATCTGGAGTAGTATAAATTCTATTATAAGATGAGTTATTATCCATTCCTAATTCTATCTCTTTCTTGGGAGTCTCCTTGTATCGATCTTGATAATACCAAATTTTTGACTCTTTCTCCTCTTTGTCGTTGCTATCTTAAAAAACAAATATAATAAAAAAATCTTCTTTTTTTGTCAATAAAATAATACTTTATACCAAAATCGACATTCCATCACAACAATTGTATCGATCTCGGCGCTAATAAGTAAATATTCATCATTTTCTTCGGATGTTATTAATCTTTCCTTATTCCTACAATATTTAGTAGGTGCCACAAATTGATCGATTGAAACAATATCATCTGTACTAACTGATGAAATCATTAATAACCAAAAGAAGTTTATTTGTAGCATGTTAAGTTAGGTATTAATATTATAATAATACCGCTAAATTCAGAATATAAATTGCTTAATTACATTTTGTAACGACATGCATAATATTCAATATTATGCATAATATGTGAATAATATCATGAAGATGTAAACATATATAATTTTATTTATTTAAATGATTTTGTATATTTTTAAATATATTAACTTACATCGAATGTTTAAGTATTTTAAATTAAATTTAAAATATAAATAAATATATATTAAATAAAATTAAATTTTATTTTATCATAGTATGGCATGCTGCGCTCAGTTTATTGTACATTTAAAAAGTCCGTAAGGTCCGTTTCAGTATTCAAAGATTTTTTCTATCCAATCAGAGCGTTTGGAACGATGGAAAAGAACCACTAACGAAATTCACCGCGAAGCGGGCGAGCTCGACGGAAACACATACCCATAATGCATCATTGATAGCAACATGGCGGAGATGATTGAAAGTGAGTAAAAGTTAACTTATTCTTGATAAAATTAATATAATAAGAGTTAATTAAAAAACAAAAAATAATTATATAAGAGTAAGAAATGTTTCGAGTTTTACGTTAATAATACATAAAATCTTTCTATAACATGTTAACAATCTTAGAGACGGTGTTTTAATTGCGCTCACAAAGGTCTGGTTTAAAATTTCAAAAATGACCAATACACAATTCAAGCGGGACAATGAAGATCTTTACCGTTTGAGATTTCATTCACTAAACAATACATCGAAAACAAATACTTGACAATATATTTTATAGTTTTTGCAATATTATTTATTGTATAACTTTATAATTCTAATATGATAAATACACATACTGTTTACGGAACTACATACAAGTTTGGTTATGTCGATAGTTAAGAGCAGAATGATTTTCTTGATTTTTTCCGAATTCTTGATTTTAATATATGTATGTATATTTTATTAATAGATTTAAGGAAAGAAAAAAAGTTAAATTTTACGATCATATATTAATATTTATATCTCATGTTATATACAATTTTATGCATCACTTTTTTTTTATATTATAAATCTTTAAAAATTTATAATATATGACATTATCAAAGAAAAATCTTAAATTTTTTAAAAATAAAAATAAAATACAATTTTTATTAGAATATAGAATTTATATTGATTATTGATTATATCATTTAGTATTTAAATAATTATAAATAGAATGTTTAGAATTAATAATATATTCTTTTTTAATTATAAAAGATTGAGCGAAATTTAAAATAGAAAAAATAAAAAATTAATATTATTTTATTATATAAATATATTTTCTTTGATATGTATATGTATGAATAATTTTCTTTTCTTAGGTGAATCAGCTGAGACATTATTATCTATAAAAAATGGAGGATATCCATCAATCGATGAAATTAAAACTGAAGTAATCGATGATGATACAATGGACATGGATGATCAACAAATTTCAAACAATTCAACAGATTCACACATGGACACAGAAGAATCTGATCCAATTCCTGAACTTGGCCCTGCAGCTTTAGGTTTACAAAGAGTAGGTACTCAACCTCCTCCAAAACCAAATCCTCCTAGTCAACCAGTTCAAGTTTTAAATCGAAGAGGGATGCCAGCAAGAATTAGAAAAAAAATAATTATTTTATGATGATATATTGGTTAATCATCCTCATCACAGGTATATATTTTATATCATAAATATGTATATTAATATAATACATATTTTAATTAAAGTCATCTATTTTATAGGATCAAAAAGGATCCGTCGCATCCAGATGCAAAACATTCTCCTAAAAAAGTATCTAGACCTTCTCCTGCAAAAAAACAAACTAAAATAACTAATGAGCCAAGAAAAAATAATAATATATTAAGTCAACCTATATCATCTACAATGACCCCAATTAAACAAGAGAAAGAACCTGATAAACCAATGCAACCTTCTTCTCCGGATCGTAAAATTGGACAAAAGATTGGTATGAGATTAAGAAATTTATTGAAATTACCAAAAGCTCACAAATGGGTTTGTTACGAGTGGTTTTATAGTAACATTGATAAGTATGTATGAAAAGAAATGAATACACATATATAAACAATTCAATTTAATAAATTTAAATTTTATTTTTTTATGCAGGACTCTTTTTGAAGGTGACAATGATTTTATGATTTGTTTGAAAGAATCGTTTCCACAATTAAAAACTCGGAAATTAACACGTGTTGAATGGTGCAAGATAAGAAGAATGATGGGTAAACCACGAAGATGTTCACAGTCGTTTTTTGAGGAAGAAAGACGAGAATTAGAAAGAAAAAGACAAAAAATTCGAATGTTACAACAAAGAAAAGCTGCAGATATTAATAGTTTTAAAGATTTACCACCAGAAATACCATTACAGTTGGTAATTGGAACCAAAGTTACAGCAAGACTGAGAAAACCACAAGATGGTTTATTCACTGGAAGTATTGATGCTGTGGATACTAGTAATAATACTTACCGAATTACGTTTGAACGTGCTGGACTTGGAACGCATAGTGTTCCAGATTATGAAGTATTGGTGTGTATATATCTATTCTAAAGTAAAAATTATCAAAATTCTATATCATCATAAAAATATATATGCTTATTTATTATTTATAGTCAAATGAACCACCAGAAACAATAAGTGTTGCTTCATTTGCACAAAAATTTAGACCGCGACATGTACAATATGTACCATCTCCACCATATGCTATGAAATTAATGTCACCACGTTTAAACAGCGATCCTTTAATATCAAATGCTTCTGTATCATTGCCAAAGAAATCTCATATTGGTGGAACAATGAATGGTTATCCTTTAAAATTATTAGAATTTATGGTTAAAGTTAATAAAATATTAGCTGCTAAAAAAGTTAAAATAAAGAAATTAAAAGAAATGAATAGTGAAGCAGAAAAAAGACGATCTTTTGGAGAACCGCTTCCGCCAGATTTTGAAAGAAGATATGCAGGGTAAGCAGTTATTTATATTTATATTATCTTTTATATTTATTGTTTTTCTTTTCTTATTAATATTTGTAATTTTAGTATTGTGGTTGAATTGGAAAAAATGAATACTGCTTTGCAAGATTTTCTTAATGATATTCAAGAACTTTGTCAAGAAATGGCTCCTGAACCTAGTGTAGCAGCCATGTTAGCTCCTTCTCATCTTCGTGAAAAATGTAGACAGGAAGCTGCAGATATGGTTGCAAGAAATAATATTATTAATGATAAGGAACCTGGAAAAATGTCTCAATTAGTGACAGACTTAACAGCTCTTATGCTTCAAGTAAAAGTAATACTTTGAAATACTTTATTTAATATAAACTAATTTCTTAATTTTTTGATATAACTTTGTATATGTTTTGTATATTTTTTTGATACAACTTTTTTTACGTTTTAGAGTTTATCTGATTCGGATCGTAACGCATATGAGTTGAAAGTGTTACAAGGCACGATGGAACAGATACGCGCAAAATTAAGTCCACAAAATCAACAGGTTTTTCAAAATTGTGTTGAAATACATATGCAACATATACAATTAGGTCTGGGACAAAGAGGTGCACTGACGCCATTTATGGCTCAAAGAGCTTAGCAAATATGAAAGTAATTTTCATTGATACTATAGAAAAAAGTGTAAAATATTAATATAAATATGAACTATCATACTACAATATTTTATAAGAAAAATTCAACTTTATTTTATTATCTTTTTGTATAGGACATATCATCATTAAGGAGTACCTATCATACTAGAATACATATGTGTGTTCTGTATATACAATAATTCTATAATTGTTTTTTAAGTAACATTCTATAAATGAGTTTTAGAATAATGTGCTGTGCCGTTAATTGCATTAAACATTTAAAAATGTTCATGTTTAAAAAATTTACATGTCAACTTTACGATTTCTACAATAAGAAATTGAAGATAAATAATAATGGCTATTGTAAATAAAGCGTACATTTTGCAGTGGCAGCTTTCATTAAATTTATACAGAAATTTGACATATTATCGCAGTAGGAATGAATAACTTGTAAAAAAAGAGTTTAATATTTACTGCTTATGAATAATTTCAAAAATTAATATATAATTAATACATTAGTATTTTGAAAAATAATTTTCAATAACTGTAAATTAGGTATATGCACAAAAATTGCATAACCAATTGTAAATACACTATAAATGATAAAAAATATGAAATTTTTACATTTATTTTATTCACACTAGCTAAAAATTTTTTTATTTATATTAGATGTTTTAGTTTGAGAAATTGTAAAAAGTTCAATACAATATGCTAATTTATTTAAAATATGAATCTTTTTAATAATCCTATTTCTAAAATAGTTATTGATATATTGAACAAAGAATAACATTTATGAAAATCTATCTGATTTCATTTATTATGTTGTCATTATAAATATATTTATATGAATGTTATATCTATTTTTCATGCATATTATATTTTTAATAAAATAGATGTAAATAATCTTAATTCATACATACATGTGCAATATTGGTATTAATAATTCTAATACAAACATTCCTTAAAATAATAAATATATTTTTATATTCATAAAATAAGTAATATTAAAAATAGGCTATGATTTGAAAATTCATAATTCTTTTATATTTTTTTTTCATAATTTTCAATAAAAAATGTTTATTTCAATACTAAATGATAAAAAAAGAACTCTGGTCATTTATAATAATAAGATATCATAGAAACTATTGAAATTTTTTATAATCAAGAATAAATTAAGGAATGTAAGCTATAATGATCTTAATATTTGTTCTATTTACATAAATTTTTCATATGTAAGTAATTTTTATTGGAAAACATGTATTAGACAAGTATATAACATTTTAAACACATAATTCTGTAAACAAAAAATTATACTTGCAGTACATGTATCAAATAACTGTCTATGAATTTTAAATATTCTAAATCTGATTTACATTTATTTGTTTTAATTACAATGTCCTTATATTTATATATATTACCCATACGTGATACCATAACGTACCCTTCGTGCAATAAAAAATAAAAAATATATATAATATATTCTAATTCTATTTTACATGACATGTTATACCAATTCAAGTAAAAATATTACAATGAATACATATAACAACAAAATTGTATTTTTGTTTTCAAAAAATTATTGGTTACTATTCAGCACAATTTTTGTTTCTTTTTTTTTTCAATGGCATTTATAATTACTTATTTATAATTTCTATTTTTTTTTTTTCATTTTTTATGTTTATTAAGTGCTTCTAATAATTTATCTGCATCATCATCTGTTTTTACTCTTAATAAAATTGGTACTGGAGGTGGCGTAGAATCAGGTAAAGGTAAACAAACCAACATTATTGTATTTTTATTCATACGTTTTGTTGGTATACTTTCTGTTAGTAAAGTATTGAGCAATAAATTTCCCAAAGAAGTTTCTGCGCGTACTAATAATTGTGTTTTTTCATTTGGAGTTGGTTTTAAAAACAACATTCCAACACCTCTATCAGTAAAATTACCATCTTTTTTAACAAAAACTTTACATCTGCAAAAAAAAATATATAAAAATATATATTTAAATTTTAATTTTAATGCATTTTTTCTTTTATTCTTTTAAATATTTGTTAAAAAATATTTAATAAAATATTTAATAAATATAAAAGAATACCTTTGTTCATATATAGCACCTTCTTCTATAACTGGTTTGAATTCTGCTTTTGGTGGTTCCTCATCTTCATCATCCTTTCCTTCACTATCTTCAGGTTCTTGTGGCTTTACCACTTGAGCTCCAAATGTAAATGGTTTTGTACTATAAAATCATGATGTTATTAAAATATTTTTATTACATTGAACATTTGAAATAAATTACCTTCCAAAACTAAAACCAGTTGATGTATTATTAGTAGCAGAACTTTGACCAAAACAGAAAGTTGTTGTATTTGTTGTAGAAAACGAACTAGCAATAGTGGTAGTGGTACTAGCAGTACTAGTAGTTATAGTAGTAGATTTTGAATCCAATTTTGTTCTTGTTCATCTGATTTATCAGATGCAATAGATGGTTTACTCAAGAATGGATTCTTTTCAGAATTTGAACTTCCAAATATATTTTTGCTACCAGATTTTTGATCAATATTACCAAAAACAGATTTTTGCATATCTGAACTTTGATCTGTATTACTAAAAATAGATTTACCCGTATCTGTAGTATGTTCTGATTTTCTAAATATAGATTTAGAGCCTGCACTAATGTTGCCAAAAATTGATTTTTCAGGTTTCCATTCTGTTGAACTAAAAGGAGATTTTGAATTTGTTACTCCAAATGGAGAACTTTCAAGTTTTTTTTCTGTGTTTGTAGATTCCTTATTATCATTACTGTGTATAGATTGTGCTTGCGAAGATTTCTCAATTTCATTTCCATGTTTACTTTCTATTTCCTTAAGATATTTTTCATAATCCTTAAAAATTGGAGTCAAAATACAAAATGGATTTGCATCAACATGAGTTTTAATCCATTGTGCCACACTTTCATTTAATCCTTTTAATTTAGCAAAGTAATCAGAAGATTTTTTTAATGTATTTTGATCTTCTTGATCAGAAGTACTGTTTTTACTACTACATGTAGGTGATGATGCTTGTATTTCTGTATTCTCTTTTTTGTTTGTTCCATTTTCATTAGTTTTTGGAGTTTCATTATTTGTAGAAGATTTATTTATACTTGTAATTGTCTTAGATGATGTATCATTAGTATTTATAGTATTATTATTAGCTAAAAAGCTAAATGGCGAAGCATTTGTCGAAGTTGTTGTTTTAAAACCTGTGAATGTACCAAATGCACTTCTGGTAGTGTCCTGAAAAATATTTTAAATAAAGTTACATACATATTGCAAGATAAGCAATATAGGGATATAAAACATATTTACTTCTGTATTTTGTAAACGTCTTTTAGCTTTTTTAACAATACGTTTTTCCATAACATCATCAGGAGCTTTTTTAAATGTACCTGCTTCTTCAGGTTTTTCTTCATCATCCCAGTTATCATGATTTAAATCTGTAGTTGCAGGCCTTTTACCAGCCATTTCTGTAAACATATTCTACAAATATACTCATTACTGTTTTTTCTTGTATTTCTTCTTTTTTTATGAAAAACAAAATAAAAATTAAATATGAACTGTCTTGATTAATAAAATGTTTAAATTAATATATATTTTTTAAATATTAAGATTATTCTTATTCATAAAGTTCATATATATTATAGCCATATATAATAATTGATTTAATAGTAATTAAAATAAGAAATATGAAAGTTTATTAGTGATATTATATTATATTAAATAATTAAAATTTAATGTTAATTTAAAAAAAAATGAAATGTTATTTTTAAATATATTAAAAACTTGCAATATAACCTCATAAATTGCTAAAATAGAAAGTATCGATTTTTTAATGTAATTAAAAAATAAATAGAATTATATATTACAATATTTACCAAAACAAATTCAATTATATTAAAAACCTAATTAAAACAAATTTAATATACTTATATTAAAGTACGTACTTAATATACATAAGAATTTACACTTGAACGCTAAACACAATTTTCAGTTCTGCGCATGCGTTTTTTTCAACCATGATCGTACTATATATCCAACGAACAAACTAAATCTTAAAAGGTTAAACGACAAAATTATAATATTTTAAGTTCTATTTTACGTAACGTGTATATGATATAAACCTATTTCAAACTCTAAATACTACAGTAAGGTAATGAAATTGTTTTCGATATAATTCTGAATCAAAATTATCATTATAAATTTGTAGATATTTCTATAATTAATTTTTATAAATAATTTTGTATAATTATTCAGCTTAAACTTATTAATTTTCTATATTTATGAAAATAGATATAAAAGTACAATTAATTGATATAGATCACACAGAACAATTGAACAATTTATATTTTTGCAATTTGTCTTGATGTTTATTAAGTTTATATATAATTTCAAATTATACCTAATTATGAATTAGTAAAAAAAGTTTGAAATTATATTTTCTAATGTTAGAAAGTTGCCGTTATATTATATTTTTAATGTCTTTAATATTTTTTACGTGTTGTTTCTTTTTCATAAGATATAAAAATTCTCAAAGAAAGTTCTGGATTCTAGACAAACAATAATAATTAGTTAAATTGTTTAAACGATGAAATTTAAATATAAAGATAATTTTTTATATCGTAATTGAACTTTCATAAATGAAGAAAGAAAGATATTATATTAAATACATATATGTACTAAACTAGCCTATAAGATAAATATGTGATGAATGATCACGTGGTACATTGTCACGTGTAAACGATCAATTTAAATTTGATATTTTTCTATATATTCTTTATTTAATTTACATAATAAAATTTTTAATATCTTGATAATGTTTTTATGTGACAAAAATTAATAATTTAATAAATTTCTACGTATTATAGTTTGCAATATGAAATAAATACTACATAATGTATTTTTCTGAAAATAGTAACTTTTTCCTAAAATTATAATATTAAATATATATTGAATATATATTTATTTAAATTATTCTAACTATTAAAATCATAACTTTTATAATTCTAAATATATAAATATTTTATAAATATAAATATATATTTACATTATAATAAATAGTACATTATAATTATTTTATATTACGTATAAATATGAAAACATCAATATAAAAATAATTAAATTTATTATAATTTATATAAAAATTTAATTATTTCAAGTATAAATACATAAAAATTAAATAAGTAAATTTTTCAATGCAATTATTTAATTTAATTTAATGTTTATTAAAAATAGCCATATTTTGACTTATCTTTAAGTACGGAAACTCTAAAATATATCTTCGGATTTCAGAGAACGAGCGTGTCTATCATGAACAACGTTTCATTTCGTAATCGCAAATATGTGGCGCCACTATCGCCGGCATTACCAACGTTCACTATCATAAAAGATCTACTTCAAGGAAATGTTTTCTTTGAACATCCTGTGTTTTCGTAAATTTGTAAGCATAGTTCATAGTGGTCGACAACATATGCAAACAATGCATATAATAAAATTGTAATATAGAGTGATAAGTTCTTTCACATGGTACATGTACCGGTTATAAGCTTGGCGCGAAAACTTTCTTTCAAGGAGC